CTTTAGGGTCAGCAATAGATGAGGTTTCAAAGTTTTTTATTTATGGGGTTTTTTAAACTTTTTTTGTAACTTGAAAGGTTAATCTAGTTCATAGATGTGGCAAAGGCTTTAAAGTTAAGTAGGAAGCTTATCACCACTCAGCAGAAAACCCTCGTTTTAGCTCTTAAAGTTACTATCATTTATACTTAGCAAAATGTCAATGCAGGCTACTTTTTGAAATTTGAAAGTTTCTATGGTCAGTTTTCTACAATTTGAGCAACATTATAATAAAATGTTCACATTTACCTTTAGATAAGCCTGATTGGGTAGTTAATACCGCATGCCAATATCAGGGTTTTCTTTCTCTCCATCCTCCTCCTATCTCACCAATCTCTCCCTCTTCTCCAAAAATGTCAGTGCCTGTTTTGAAAGCTAAATACTTATACACGTTTTTAACTTAAAATTTATTCTTATTTCTTTTAACATTTTAACAATATTTCTTTGACCTTTTTAATTTTCAATTTATACAGTTAAAAACAACAAATATCATGAAAATTAGAAAATACGCTTTTTTTACTAAAGTGAGATCATACTATATTGCTGTTTTATAACCTCCTTTTTTTTATTTAACAGTATCTCTCCATATGTCCTTCCATCTTTCCTTCTTATCAAGTCCATAGTCAAATTTCCTGGTGTAGGACAAATTTTCACATCTGGTTGTTATATGCCTTCTCTCTCTCTCTCTCTCTCTCTCTCTCTCTCTCTCTCTCTCTCATTGAATCTAGTACCCTTTTTCTTTGTATGCCACTAAACTTATTGAGGAGACAGGGCTAGCTCTCCTGCAGGATGTTTTACCTTCTAAATGTATCTGGTTGCTCACATACTTAACTTGTTCCTGTATATCTTGTATTTCCTATTAACTAGAAGTTAAATCTTAAGGCCTGAGAGATTTAAGTTAAACATTTTTGGTTGGGCTATGTGATAGGTTATGTACTTTTTATTTTAACTCATCAAGAGACACTGTATCTGCAGAGAACAGACTGACAGCTGTCAGGGGGAGTGAGGGCTGAGTGAGATAGGTGAGGGTACTAAGCAAAGAAAAAAAAAAAGGGAGATTCATGGACACAGACAACAGTATGATGATTGCCAGAGGAAAGGGGGGTGGAGGGAGGTAGAAGTGGGGATAGGAGGATAAATGGTGATGGAAGGAGAACACACAATACAATATACAGATGTATTGTAGAATTGTATACCTGAAACGTATACTTTTATTAACCAATGTCACCGCAATAAATTCAATTTTTTTTAAAAAGAGACACAGTATCTAGATGAGTCACCATTAATGAGACTGAATTTGACCGCTGAATTAGGGTAATGACCATTTGATCCTTCACTGTAGCATTTCATCTTTCTCTTTGTGACTAGAAAACAATACATTTGGTGTTACTTTGCACAGTATGAATCTCTATGTCCCTATCAAACATATACCTTACTCTAATATTTGCCTAAATTAGTAATTTAATGAGGGCGCCCATAATTTTTTTATTTAAAAATTTTTTTCTACTTTATTAGCCACAATTTTTCTATAAAATAGGATTTTTTAACATATGAGGCTATTGGTTTGGTCATCTTAATTCTCACAACTCTGACTAGTGGGGAAGGGGACCTTTCAGGCTCATTCCTGTCCTGTGTCTTTTTGCTATGATACTACTTTTCTAAATTATGGAAACATTTAGACATAAAAGTATAGAGAAAAATGCAGTGAACCTCCAAGGTATCTTTCAGCTTCAGTAATTATCAATATATTTCTAATCATCTTTTATTTGACCTCTTCAACTTTTTTTGATTTCTGGATTATGATTCCATTGATATTTGAAAAGTTTTCTGTTATGGCAAGGCCCAGACCTGGAAGCATCCATTTCTCTAAGAAGCCCTGATTGCTTTGATTGAGGAATGGTATCAGATAAAATCTGGGCATAAAGGTTATTGAAAGTTTTTAACTTCGATTTTTCTTTACTTTCCCCTCATGTGCCTCATCACAATGGTAGCCTACTTTTTACAAGGAGGATTACTCTCACCGGAGTCATGGAGAATGGGCACTTCTCAAAGATGCAACAAAAAGCTTTATATTTCTATTTTAATTGGTCTACGTTTTAGGTATAGCTGACAAATGATTCAAATTTTGGCAGGTAAATGTTTTTAATAAAGGACCTTTTTCTGAAATAAACACCATTTATTATCAGTTTATCTGTACCACAATATAAGGAAATTCTCAATGTATAAATATATTACTTCTGAAGGTTTGCTTATGCCACACTGTATTTTCTTTTTTGTGTGTTTTTTTAGTATTCAACACATTTTCTCATACTAATAATGCAGATGATAAAATGTTATTGAATTCTAGCTCTTAAAACCTGTATGATTTCCAAGATTAAAGCCATATCTTTGCCTTCTTTTCCTCCTGATGCTCTGATGAAATAAAATGTATAGAAATAAGAAGTGAAGAAGCCAATAACAACAAATAGGAAGACTCCCCAAGAGTAATAATTGAACAGATTTCTGGATCTCTTTTCGAGTACAAGAAGGCACAAGTATATCCCTCATCTCACCTCCCATACCTCTCTCACCCCTGCACTTGGACTACAGATAGCTGGCATGAACCCAGGCAGAGCACCAGACAGATCTTTTTTTAGAGAAATTGTACTAAGGCTTCTTGAGTACAAGTTATGTCCCCAGAACAAAAGAAAAAGCCATCTTTATTCTGGCATTTACAGGGCCTGCTGGCTCCCCACCTACACATCCTAAAGGAACACTGTATACCTAGCCCACACAGAGGCCCCCTCAGGAGAGCCATTTCGCCAAAACAAAACAAAACAAAAAAAAACCCAGACCATCTTGACAGTAACAGAGAAAATTTATGTTGGCTAATGAGTCATTCAGGCCCAAATATGAATGAGTAACCAGAGATCACCAGGCATGTGAGGAAAACTAATGGCATGAAAGAGAGACTAAAATAATCAGAAAAATGCCACTGGAGAAAATAGAGGTAACCAGAGATAACTTTATAAAAGAGAAACTAATATACTCAAAGCTACAAGAAGATACATTGATTAAACAAGAATAAGAGGACACCAGTTTTCAGATTAAAAGGACACATCAAGTATTGAAATAGTGATGCACATGAGCCTGCACAATTCCTAGGATAAAAGATCCAGAGAAAAGTCATGTACAAAGTGACAAGTATCAGTCTGAAATCAAATCTCTCATCAGTAACCTTTAATGCTTTAAGACAGTAAAATATTGCCTACAACATTTGGAAAGAAAATACAGTACAGTGCAACCAGGGATTCTATATCCTGCCAAACTATTCATGAAAGGTGAGAGCAGAATAAAGTTGTTTTCAGACAGGCAAGGACTCAAAGTTAACTTTCTTGGAATTAAAAGTAGTAAATGGATTGCACATTCACCATCAACCTTCTTGTAAAACAGAAATTCATTGTGTATTTTTTCATTAAACATTTTCATTTTGGGCTTTTTGTTTTTTTTAATCTCATTGGTGCCAAAAGAGTTTATTGAGAGGAAAAGGGGATGGAGGATTGCAAACAATAAAATAAGTAGTTATGGATTTATACCACAGAATAAATGACAGAGCTACCATAGCAAACAGCAATGAGACCATTCCCTTTACTCTCAGCAGGCTGAAATATTCCATATATTGCACATAAATAACTCAAAATTTTTCATATTTCTCAATGACCCCAGCAACAAGCAACCTAGGACCGCTTACATATAATCACAACTGGCTGGTACACTATATGGCCAGCAGGGACAACAGCTTCAAATTCTTCTCCCATCATGACTGGAATGACATGATCTGGCTGATATTCAAAAGCATCATTCTGACCGCTGTGTTGAAAATAGACTTGGGGGTAGAATAGTAGAGCAAGGATAGAAGCACAGAGACCAGTTTGGACATCATTGCTGTATTCCACATGAAAAGTTACAGTGGCTCTGATTTGGTGGTAATAGTAGTAACAGAAAAGAGGTCAGATTCTGGGCATAATTTGAAGGTAGAGCCAATAGGATTTCCTGACTGATTGGATATGGGGTGAGCAACAAAGGAGTCAAGATTTATGGTCTGAGCAGTAAGAAATGAGGAACAGATTGAGGGAAAAGATTAGAAGTTAAGTTTTGGGTGTTATATTTCAGAAGTCTATTTGACCTCCAAGTAAAGATGTCAATTGTTGGATTGGAACTTAGATATATATGTCTGCAGTTCTGAAGAAGGACTGACCTGGAGATAGAATTTGGGGAGTATATGAATTGTATTTAAAGCTATGGGATTGGGTGAGATCTCCTAGAAGTGAGTACAGATAAAGAAGATGTTTGAGGACTGGGACCCTATGTCACTCCCAACATTTTAGTTTCAGGGTGATGAGAAGGAATGATTGAAGATGACTGAGGAGGAGCAGCCACTGGGGTGTAAGGAGAACCAAGACAGAATGGTGCCCTAGAAGCCAAGGAATCATTGACTGTTTTATACTGTGAAGAGGTCAAGTAGGATGAGCACTAAAAATTCACTGTTGGATTTGGCCACATGGATGTTGGCATTTACCTTAATAAGACCTGTTATGTGTTTAAACAGCTACTAAGATGTTGAGACAAAAATATGTATTAAGTTGTTTGGGCCCAACTACTTAATAAATGGAACTATTAGATATTTCTTTGGGCCTATAGGCTCTGTGAGAAAATTACTGTGGTACAAATGGAGCTACAAACAGAAAGTCTGAGAATCTCTGCTTTAGAGGCTTGTGCCAAGTGAGCATTTTAAGGGGAAAGCACCTCTTGCCTTGTCTTTATCATGCCAGAAACTTTGAGTTTGTAATTTTAAATCTGATTAGATTACATGCAATTAATAAAATTTCCTTAATGTGGTAATTCAGCATAAAAAATAAAGCCTTATCTTGTGAAATATCAGTAGTAATACATTTTTGCATGAATTTTTCTTCTTGATTCCATAGGTATGGTCTGAATATGCGTTGCTTGGCAGCTCGGGTCAACTATAAGACTTTGATTATCATCTGCGCACTCTTCACTTTGGTCACAGTACTTTTGTGGAATAAGTGTTCCAGCGACAAAGCGATCCAGTTTCCACGGCACCTGGGTAGTGGCTTCAGAGTGGATGGATTAGAAAAAAGAGCAGCAGCATCTGAGAGTAACAACTATGTGAACCATCTGGCCAAACAGTCCGAGGAGGCATTTCTTCAGGAACAGCAGAAAGCACCCCCGGTCGCTGGGGGCTTCAATAGCAATGGGGGAAGCAAGGTGTTAGGACTCAAATATGAAGAAATTGACTGTCTCATAAATGATGACCACACAATTAAAGGGAGACGAGAGGGGAATGAAATCTTTCTTCCATTCAGTTGGATAGAGAAATATTTTGATGTTTATGGAAAGGTAGTTCAGTATGATGGCTATGATAGGTTTGAATTCTCTCATAGCTATTCCAAAGTCTATGCACAAAGAGCTCCTTATCACCCTGATGGTGTGTTTATGTCCTTTGAAGGCTACAACGTGGAAGTCCGAGACAGAGTCAAGTGCATAAGTGGGGTAGAAGGTTGGTATCTCTGCTCCACTGCATTTTTCTATCCTGATTGTGTTGGGGAATAAGATACTATAGGTATTAATTATATAGCAAGTACATACATAATTTACCATCAAGAGACCTTTCATCACTCTGACTTAGCACGGAAGAACAATTTATTCTCAACCTAGGGCAACTTTCTAGATGGTGTGAGCTACAATAAGATCATACCTGATCAAATAGGATTATTCCGTCAATCTGCCTCAGAATCAAAAATTCTCACCAGTAAGGCCAAGGCACGGGATCTTCAGAAATTTTGTGTTAAAATATAGTTATTTTCCTATAAGAGGAGATGGGAAAGAACAGAGACCATTCAGTGGAGCCATCAATGTCCCAATTACAGTCTTATTACCAGACTAGAGGCCCAGTGCATGAAATTCGTGCACGGGGGTGGGGTCCCTTCAGCCTAGCCTGCACCCTCTCCAATCCAGGATCCCTCTCACAATCTGGGACCGCTGGCTCCTAACTGCTCACCTGCCTACCTTCCTGATCGCCCCTAACTGCCCCCCCCTGCCAGCCTGATCACCCCTAATTGCCTCTGCCTGCCGGCCTGATCACCCCTAACGTCCCCCCTGCCCCTGCCGCCAGCCTCGTCGCCCCCAACTTCCCACCCCCTGCCAGCCTAGTCTCCCCCAACTGCCCCCCTGCCGGCCTGGTCGCCCCACACAGCCTGCTGTTCGGTCATCCATCTGGTTGTTCTGTTGTGACAGCCCCTGGCTTTTTATATATTAGGATTAGCCAGGCATCATCTCTGGGTGGAGGTTTAAAGTCCTCATAACTAGACAATCCATAGATACCATGTTCTCTGAACTTATTCTGAACTCCTGTAATCTATTACATATTGTCTTTCAAATTTGGAGCAATGGAAATTCCTTATGATTATATTGGTGTCCAATTTGAATTTGTATTTCAAACCTAGGATTGATCAGAAAGCAAAATTGAATTTGACTTTTCATTTACTTATGATTTATTAACTTTAGAAATTTTCAGTTCTATTTACTAAACTTAGGGATTTTTTTTTTACCTTTTCCTTTTATGCTTAGAAAGTCATTTGCCACACCATAATCAGCTGTTCCTCTGTATTTTCTCTAATAGTTTTATGGTTTTTGTTTTTTTACATTTAACTTTTTTAATCCAGCTAAGTTGGTTAATGTTTTGGTAAATGGTAAAAGGTAAGGTCTGTCTTTAGACTTTTTTCCTAACATGTATTAAATAATCTCCTCTTTTCCCCACTGATTCATGATGCTAGCTTTGTCATTATACTAAAGTATTTTGGATACCAGAGTATGTTTCTGGCCTACTATTCCATTGATCAGTCTATCAGTTCTCATGCCAGTTGTATATTATAGTTATCAACCATCTTTAATGAGACGTATAAGCTTTCCTTTTATGAAGTGAAAATAATTCTGTTTGAATTTTAGAGAAAAAATATCTCCCCTTGGAGAAGGAATTCAGAAGTTAAAAAGCTTACTTGTAGCCCAGGTTTCTTCACCTCTGTGGCCCCTAGTTTCTTAAACTGTGTTGAAACTATATCAGAGCACATATAGTTTCATAGGTTCCCAGTTTCTGCTGGGACTAGAACTACATACAGATAGGACTTTATGTCTCAACACATACCCCATGGTGCAACAATACAATAGTCTGTGCAATGTGGTGTGATTGTATTTCCCATGTAGGGAATTACTAAAATAAATAAAATACGGACACCAAGCATGTATAACTTTTCCTTAGAACTTTACAGGAGGATAATCTATTAATGAATTATTTCAAGAATCTGTTTAAACATACCACTTTAATTTATTTTTAAAAATACTCCTTGTTCTCAAGAATTACCTTTTGACATGAAGGATATGAAAAAGCTTCGCAAGCTTGTTTATACTTTTAAGTTGCCTAATCTTAACTGGGTTCTTAAGTAAATGCTTTAACCATCAGATTATATACTTAGGAGACCAAATCTTGATATTGGAGGAGAGATGAGTATGTAATTAACTTGATTGTTAAGTATAAATGTTTAAGAAAATTTCAGGATTGACACTCTAGACTAAAACTATGATAACATTATCTACATGTATTTAAATTGTGCAAAACTTGAATGTTTGAAGCAGGATTATAAAATATAACATCTATAGCTATGAGCAGCAGTACCACTCATGAAAAGTCAGTTTAAAAGATAATCTACAACATTACATTACTGCCTGTCAACAAATAATGAATGCGAGTAAATGAATGTTTAATTTTGTTTTTCCTATCTGGTTAATTTGGGTACTATTTTTTAGTAAGTATGGAAACTATATGAGGAAGCTCAAATTTTGCTGATAACTTTATATCCCCAGAAGTGAAACAGTGAAGAGTGGTGTTCAAACAAACTTATAAATGTATGGACATGATTATTTTGTTTCTCTATGTTATAGGTGTACCTTTATCTACACAATGGGGACCTCAAGGCTATTTCTACCCGATCCAAATTGCACAGTATGGGTTAAGTCATTATAGCAAGAATCTAACTGAGAAACCTCCTCATATAGAAGTATATGAAACAGCAGAAGATAGAGACAAAGCCAACAAGCCCAATGACTGGACCGTGCCAAAGGGCTGCTTTGTGGCTAGTGTGGCTGATAAGTCCAGATTCACCAACGTTAAACAGTTCATTGCTCCAGGTAAGTGAGGTATTGTGTGACTGCTAATTTTATGTTGATTTATAGCATCTGATACTCTTTAAATTGTTTTTTTTAAAAACACACACATTAGCAAACCTTTCATGTTACGTATATAAAGAAACAAATGGTGTCACTAAAGTAAAATCCCTAAAAAGGAACAGCTAAAAAATTCAAGGTTATAGAAGGCATATTTTCTGGGTGAAGAGCCAAGCCCTAGATTGAATATTAAGATCCAGGTTACTGCGTGGTGTGCATCTCCTTCCAGGGATCTGTGTCCCACAAGAATGAAATTTTTTGTGTATTTCAGTACAATATTCTTTAATTTTTAAACTATTTTGCATTAAGGTAGAAGTTTTCCCTTATAGAAAGAACCAGCCTTTCCTTTGCATATTTTTACCAGTAGCTATTAAATTTTTTCAAGATAAGACAGCATTACCAACTAGGCCTGCTTCCCATATTGAATTTTGTTAATGTACTAAATTGTCTCAAATTTCACATAAAACCATTTCATTAATAAAATCATTTATAAAATCAAATTAACTTTATGCAACATTTTCCCTTTTACTAAGACAGTCTCATTAATTAGGATGTAATGCATTTTCCTCCACTAATCAATATCGATGAGAATTAATGAGTCCATTACTTAAAAAGACAATGAAATAATTTTAGTTAGCACCTCAGGCTTTACTTCTCTATGGGGAAATGTTGTCAAAAATAGAACTCATTCCTCCCTCCCACCAACCTTGCAGTCAGTAAATAGAAAGAGAAAAGGTTATAAGCCCTCTTCTGTATTCTCTCCTTGTCCTTTATTGATGACTGTGTAATTCACAGACCTTGAAAGCCACAATACAAACCTACTCATTCTGGATGGCCTTAAGTAATGGATTTATGAGTGCTTAATGCAGTACAAATAGTGGGTGACCTTTCGTTTTTATTCTGTGACTAGTACTTCTTTTCTCCTGTGGTATTCTGTGATATTCAGTACATAGAACATCTTTTCTTACTGTAAGACAGCAGGCTTAGCTGGGTGAGAAAGTATGTGGAAATGTTTAAGGATGTTTAGCTTGTGATACCTAAGAGGTAATTTATTGCAGCAGGAAATGCTTGGACAAAGCAAAAGGATATTTGGTTTGGGGTGCACCAAAGGGGCTTATTTTTGCACTAATTACAAAATGTTGTCTGGATGAGGGTGGCAAACAGCAGCCCTCATCTTGATCTCTTCAAGTGCTGGAAGGTTTCTAGAGCAATCTTTTGAACTCTATCCTATTTAGAGCAATAGATTTCATGGTCCACTTTTGGATGCCCTGGATAATACAAAGATAGGTCCCCTCATACGAAATGAGGAACCCTCACTTTAGCCCTTCTTTCTTCAGCCGGTAGCTGGAGATAAAACTACTTCCTGATGTGGTTTTAAGCATGTGAAAAAGAGAACTCTGTGTGTGACAGTACCTCTGCAAGTAGGACAAAAGCTACTCACAGTTGGAACTCCCTGTTGGTGGGAGTGTGCTAGCTGGGGATGGAGAGCTTGTTTTGATATCCTGGGTGTGCCTGGTGTTGCACTCAATACAAACGTTGGAGGGAGAGTGAGTGGAGTTACATGGGGGTTGTTGCTCAGAGCAGGAGAAAGAAATCCCAGAGGTGAGTCTGTTTATTAAGGCAGTAGTATAGGAGATGAGGCTTTTTAGAGGATATAGACCTCATGGGAGATAAATTCACAGAATCACTGTTGAGAAGAAATTGGGACTTGTACATAAAAGCATAGGTCTAGGTGAGATGAGGCTCTAGGGGACCAACGCCTGAATACTGTTGGCCTTTTATTTTTTATTTTTTGGCCTTGAATATTTTTGCCCTGAAGGGGACAAAATCATCTAGCAGAAAGAATTATTACATGCACCTGTAGCATATTTTTTCTTGTTTTATTTGCTGAATAATATTTTGTTCCTCTTCCTGATTTTAAGATGGAATGAATTAAAACTTTATACCTGTCCTGCTCTATTAAATTAGTTTTTCTTTCCCAAAGCACTCTCTTTATTTCATTTCCACGGTATCATTTTTCCTCTTTCTATAGCATTCTTTCTCAGGCTTCTTGTGAGCTTCTCTTCTTCTACCTGACCCTTATCTCTCAGTGGTCCTGGAGATTTTGAGTAAGGCCTCTTCTCATTCCACATAGTAAACCTGTTGATTAAATAAGTCATAACAGTTTGTGTACTATGTGAAAATACTGATTTAAGACTACTCTTAAATGTTTATTATTCTTTGTTGCCTAAGTACATGTAAACACATACTAAAAATAGACACTTGTAGAGACTCCTCAGAATAACTGCTCAGAGAGGAGGGGTCGTGGATTTCAAGCAATTAGGAAATTTTCTGTTACTAGATTTAAAGCACTATGGTTGCCACACCATAGTCAGTTCCATTTTCTACCATTCACATCCTTCTCAGTACATCTATGAAATGAAATTAAAAATTATCTCATAAAATTGTTGTGAAGATTATGGTTGTTGGTAGATTGACTTAAATTAGAGATTGTGACTTCTCTGTATGGCGGTGTTAGGTTTTAGGAAAGTTAGTAATGGTTTTTTTAAAAGGTTACATCCCATATCATCATTCATTGCTGAGTTCTTTGAACTAATCTGTTATATTGAGACATAAGGTGATTGACTAAACCATATCATTTCATTGGAATTTTATATATAAAGTGAAAATCAGAATATAATTCTGGAAGAAAAATGGGTACTTCGTTAGCTTCCTCCCATTTGGACTTCTAGAGATGGGCCATTGTTACCCACTTTGGTGAAAATGTATGTAATAGTTAATACTCTTGTCTGATTAATGAGGCATTACCCTAAGAATGAAAAAAATAAGTAGCACTCAAGATAGTCTGCTTTGCTGAATATAATTTAACCTTGAGTAATTCATAAGTCAACAGAATCCTGTAGTGGTTCGTGGATATACTGAGCATCAGATTCCATTTTACTATTGATGCAGAAAAATGCTAGGTAAGAGAGAGATTGCATGTTGACATTTTCCAGATTAAATGGACTTTTACTGTATTAGAAGTATACTTTTGAAATCACTTTTTAAAAATATCACTCAAAGCCTGCATAAGTCTATCAAGATGTTCTCATTCTTAATTCAGTTTCCATAATTGTCCATCAAATGAAGTAATTAAGAGCCTTGGATTAATTATATCCACATTGGTAAAGTCCACTGTTGGGAGAGTTAATGATCAATTCAACATGCTAATACTCACCGAACTAATCACAGTGTATACATTATGCACTGTCATCAGCTCACATTTCTAATTTTTGCTCCCAGTTAAAGATTTCCTCAAGGACTCCTCAAAGCAGATCTGATTCTATGGCTATATATATATGAGAAATAACTCTTTCACTGATTATTCTCATGAGAATGCTACTTCCAATATCATTTCTTTCTCACAGTCTTTGAACTTGGGTTCAAGAATCCTAGTTTCTAGTCCCTACTCCACTACTTAGCATTTGGTTTTAGGCAAACCTTTTGACCTTGCAAAGCCTTCATATCTTCATCTCTAAAATGGTAATTCCTGCTCAGTAGATAGTAATGCCAGCCTCAGTAGATTATTGTAAGGACCAAATGAGATAATACATGTGGATGTGTTTTGAATATTTAAGCTCTATAAAGATCAAGATATTTACATTTACTGGTATCCTTAATATTAAAAAATTTGTACGATATTTTCTGTTGTTTTTCTTGTTCTTGCTGCTGCTGCTGTCTGATTTAATGTGCTCAGTTTCTTTGCTTGGTAGATCTAGCCCAGCAGTACACAGAAAGTCATCTTTCTGGGAGCCAGCCATCATTGCACTGTAAATATGCAGGAGAAATTTCCTATTTGATAATATGCCAAATTAAATAGTTTTTACTATTTTTTTAATATTTTTTTTTTTATTTCAGAGAGAGGAAGGGAGAGGGTGAGAGATTTAGAAACATCAGTGATGAGAGAGGATCATCAAATGGCTGCCTCCTGCACACCCCACACGGGATCAAACCTGCAATCCAGGCATGTGCCCTGACCTGGACTCGAACTGTGACTTCCAGGTCCATTGGTTGATGCTCAACCACTGAGCAGCACCAGCGGGCCAAGCCACTATCTTTTTTAAATCCTTACAATTACTTTGCAGAGTAATATTATCTCTATTTAACATGTGAAGAAACTGAGACTCCAAGAGGTGTATTTATTGAACATCTCAAAGCTAGTAAGTGACAGAATAAGAGTTTATACAAGGCTGTTTTTTGTTTGTTTGTTTGTTTGTTTGTTTTAACTCCAAAGCCTGTGCTTCTCCCTCTACCTCCCTCAATCTCCCTCACTTTTTGTTGACTACATCATCCTATTCTTCCTTAATTACCAGAAATTTTATTCACAATTCCAGCAAATATCTGAAAACAACCTATCATTTTTAATATCAAATGAGATATTAGTAATTGAGAGCCAGACTAGACAACCTGGGTTCAGCTAGCTTTTGACTGTTTTTTTCTTTTTGCAGAATGGGTATACTGAAATAGTCACTGATTATTGATCGGCTGGTATTTGAAAGGCAGTTTGATCAACAATACCTTAGCCATTGCTCTTATGTTATGTAACCATCTAATGTTAACCACACAGGCCAAAAGATAAAAGCTTTAGCCTGGTGCTCACAGCCATCACGGACTCACCAATCCTATCATTTGTGGTTAATTCAGTAAAAATAACAATAACAATAATAATGATGACCTGACACAAAATATTGAAGCATTAATTTTGTATGGTCAGTGGTTGTCAAGGATGAATTATAGTTAACTTTTAAACACAAAGAGGTTGCATTCTAATCAGTCTTTGTTGGTATATTTTATTCCCTACAGAGACCAGTGAAGGTGTATCTTTGCAACTGGGGAACACAAAAGATTTTATTATTTCATTTGACCTCAAGTTCTTGACAAACGGAAGTGTGTCCGTGGTTCTAGAGACTACAGAAAAGAACCAGCTCTTCACTGTGCATTATGTCTCCAATACCCAGCTGATTGCTTTTAAAGAAAGAGACATATACTACGGCATTGGGCCCAGGACTTCGTGGAGCACGGTTACCAGGGACCTGGTCACTGACCTCAGGAAAGGAGTGGGTCTTTCCAACACAAAAGCTGTCAAGCCAACCAAAATCATGCCCAAGAAGGTGGTCAGGTTAATTGCAAAAGGGAAAGGATTCCTTGATAACATTACTATCTCTACCACAGCCCACATGGCTGCATTCTTCGCTGCCAGTGACTGGCTGGTAAGGAACCAAGATGAGAAAGGTGGCTGGCCAATCATGGTAACCCGGAAGTTAGGGGAAGGGTTCAAGTCTTTAGAGCCAGGGTGGTACTCTGCCATGGCCCAAGGGCAAGCCATTTCTACGTTAGTCAGGGCCTATCTATTAACAAAAGACCACATATTCCTCAATTCAGCTTTAAGGGCAACAGCCCCTTACAAGTTTCTATCAGAGCAGCATGGAGTTAAAGCTGTGTTTATGAATAAACATGACTGGTATGAAGAGTATCCAACCACACCTAGCTCTTTTGTTTTAAATGGCTTTATGTATTCTTTAATTGGGCTGTATGACTTAAAAGAAACTGCAGGAGAAAAACTCGGGAAAGAAGCGAGGTCCCTGTATGAGCATGGCATGGAATCCCTGAAAGCCATGCTCCCCTTGTACGACACTGGCTCAGGAACCATCTATGACCTCCGGCACTTCATGCTTGGCATCGCCCCCAACCTGGCCCGCTGGGACTATCACACCACCCACATCAATCAGCTGCAGCTCCTCAGCACCATTGATGAGTCCCCAATCTTCAAAGAATTCGTCAAGAGGTGGAAAAGCTACCTTAAAGGCAGCAGGGCAAAGCACAACTAGAGCTCACAACCAAAAGCCTATTTCAGTCTCTGCTGTACACAGAAACTACGGGCCCTGCCAGCAGCGCAGAGGCACGTGTGGAAAGGTCGGAGACTAGGTTTCTGTGGATGACATCAAAGTGATACATGATCCTTAAAACCAGTCTCCTGAGATAACGGCATTCCATGGGATGGGTGTTTAGAATTGTAGGTGGCATTCAGAGCAGGAAAGTGTTTAGTCAGGGGGCTGAACAGAAATGTGTAATCTTGCCTTGCTTATCACCCTGTACAGTTCCACAGGTAGCCCAGTCCCTCTTAGTTTGGGGAAATGAATGGTAAGTAGCTGTTACTGGCCAACTGGCTATCACTTACCTGAAAACTTAGTATGGGGTGCTTTTAAAATGTGATTATTTATGTTTATGTTGAAAGCAGACTTTAAAAAAAATAATGTGCTGTAATACAGTGAATATTTACCTGTAGCCTGAATAGTGGACTGTGTGCAACTTTTTTAAATGATGTGTGTGTTTTTTCTATAGATTAACTTCTTGGGGGCAAATGAGCATTTGTTGCTTTTGTTCAATTTGTTATATATGGAGAATATTTTGAATTTCTGGTTTTCTTGATGTGTAAATTAAAACACAGTCGGTGTTCAGGCTTCACAGTTATGTAATGTAAGCACAACTAAAATGAAACGTGTTGACTGCACAAGAAATTACAAAAATATTATGTTTTATGAAACTTGATCTACAATCAGTAAAGGTTTGATAATCAGACTATCCCTCCCCAATCTCCATTGTGATTGGTTTCTTTTGTTGTTATCTAGAATTTTCTATTTCAATTCAGACTACACACAAGAGTTTTTTCTATTTGGGGGGACATTTTTGGTTCATTATTTAGGAAATTTTATTATATATAAACCTAAATTTGGAAAGGAGCTAGTAATTCTAATAAGTCCACATCTTTAGGATTTTCCCCCTTAAGAAAAAATACTAGATTAGATATTACATACAAGAATCACAGAAGGGGTTTTTTCCTACTTAGATCATTCTTGGTCAACTTTTGAAATCATTGACTGCGCATCATTGTTTTTCCTTTGCAATTTTAATTTTAAATTATTTAAGCTCTTGGATAGAAGTGATGTTACTGCATTTATTGTATATGTAATCAGACTTTATTTGGCTTTTATATCTCACTATACCCTTATATGCCTATAGGTTTCTTACCCCACATACCCTGGGCAGTGTCTGCTGTAGGGCTTCAAGCATTAGGTCAGAACCAAAGGAGGTTGATTTTTCTGTCTTTTGTTTTAATGTCTGACAGTACACTAAATCAGTACTATAACTTAGACAGATTGGAATATGAGACCCCACACTTTCAGGGGTCACCACAAACAGTGCAGTTTATTGGTGACCTGTATTAAATGCACATCACAACTCTATTTTACCCACAACAAAACAGTTGTGGGTTATTAGTTTTCCCCATAGCTTTTGACCTTTGTAGTTCTTCTATATTAGATGTCTTAACAAGAACATCTGAATGCCTTCATTTTTAATTTCAGTGCTCAAAAATAAACGTTCTCCAATCCGGGAACCCTTTTTACTTCATTGTATTTCTTATTATATTAGAACAGTCCAGACTGCCTTGTGTTTGCATACTGGTACTTCAGATTAAGGGAATCAACAAAAACAATATGGTACTGCTTCTGTGACAAATATCAGTGCCTTAACAATGTGTCTGTCCTTTTCCACTGAAAAAGGAAAGGCATTTTGATCTAGAAATGGCATTGCTATTTCATTGCTGTTGGTTTCACACTGCCTTCCACATTGCAACAGCAACTGGATTTTTCTTGTGATCCCAGAATTTTCTAAGAGAGTGAGTTGAACCTATAGCAGCACCATCAGTACAAACTATTGGTTCTCAAACTTCACGATGTCTCAGAACCACCTGGGAACCCACTGAAATACAGATTCCAGATATTCAGTAAATCTGCCTGTGAACCATGGTAACCTGCATTTTTAACAAGCATTCAGGTGATTCTGATGCAGGTGATCTGGGGGCATACGTGGAGGAACACTGCCCAAGACCATCCATTGCACTTTTGTTCCTAAACACCTATGGAGTTTTCTAGGGTTTTTAATCATGAAAAATGTTTACTTACTCTGTGCTTAGAGAGAATGGGGAAGGTGTTTTGAAGTTTTATTTTGTTTCTTTAAATTTGTCTTTGTTTCAAGATTATGGGTATTAGTTTACACTTATCTTGAGTTAGCTTTGATGTTAAGTTAAATCTATTGCCACTTCAGTTTTGAAACCAGCCAAAAGTTTCAGATAAAGGTCAAGTTTGACCCGTTAGCAGTTACTGTACATAAAGGCTTCATCCAAAAACCATCCAGTGTATGTGAGCAAATACAAAAAATGACACTCAAGCACAACTCTCGAGATGTGGCAGTCCTTTTTCTTTGTCGCTGTACAAACTTCCACTGAAAGCTGCTATCCGCATCCTCCTTGTAATTGTTTTTCTTGTTTTTCCTCCATCGTACATGTGGGTTATATACCATGTGTTAAATATGCAATAAAGTGTTTACTGGATGCCCTTCTGAAGGGTAGTCCTTTGTAAAGCTGTACAGACTTTGCAGTTTAAGCACAATGTGCACATGTTAGTTTTATATACAGCAAAACTTGATTTTTTGCAGATGGAAAGGTATTTTGTTTCTATACAAAGTAAATGGATTGTGCTGAATGTAAAGCTGCTTTATAAAATTGTAAAATAAAGTTTTTATCCTAAAAGGAATGTACCTGGATATTTCTCTTTCATCTCTGATTATTCTAAGATTATTTTATCCCAGCAAGCAGATTTCTGACCATCATTTTCTGTTCAGCCTGTGACAACTAGTCAGGCAACAAATGCTCATTATAAGGTGTATTAGGCCCTTTAAGACAATATGGGGAGGAGAATATCACATGGGCCTTAACCAGGAGGGTTAGTCTATAGGGAGTACACAGTGTCCACAAATCAGTTTCAGAGAAAGAAAGAAAAAAGTTGAACTGTGTGGTCAGTCAAAAAAGGCGTTCTGGAGGAGATAGAGCCTAAGCAGGGCCTTCAGGCCCCGTACCAGGTGAAAGAAGAGGATCAAGTAACACGATCAAAACCAGAGTGCCATGCTGGCTGTGAGGATGCCCTTTCCAAGCTAAGTCAGCTGATAACTTTCTCTCTGATTTAGATTTATTGGAAAGTTGGCCCTTCCTATGTTTTCTGTCATTGTGCCTCCTGCAGAACAATAAGCATTACTTAATCCCTTCCTTCTTCTCAGAGAGTAATAAGTGATCTAGGCTCCCAAATACATACAAAACCATAGACTAGTCTGGCTTCATGTTATGTTTCAATGCACATTAGTTTTTTTGTTATGAACGCTGCATTTATATAATGGAATTCCAATTGATCACCAATCAGCTTTCTCCAGCTGATGGATGCACAGATTTTGACAGGCTGCTAATCCACATTCTTGGCCTCTTCCTTCTCTGTCATCCTCAGTGGGAAACAGTCATAAGGGGGCAAGTAGTTCTTGGTCTGGATGAGGTCTCAGGCTGTTCTTGCTTTGATTTTGCTCTTTGTAGATAAACGGTTAATATATTAGCCATTCTTCTGTAGCACCCTGAACGCCACTTATTTGTCTCCCCGTTGCCCTTGAGAGGGGACAGACCCTCCGTGCCACGGAGGACTTCCTCCAGTCTGTTGAGCTCTCCTTTCCTGAGAACGCCTTCTTCGTATCCGTGGGACTCTGGCGGCCACTGTGTGCTATGAGACCTGCCTCTTCTGGGCATGACAGTTAGACCGGAGTGAGTCCCTCACTCAGGGTGGGCCAGTGAGTCTCTTCCCCAGGGATCCGGAGTTGGAATGGATAACTGAAGAAGATACACAGTGAAAACGAAGGGAATCTTGGCAGTGCTCCAGGCCCTGGGCCCAGTGCATTTCAGAGGCCAGCAGCATTTCCTCTGGTTCCGTGAGATACACTGTCCCTTTAGGACATACTCCTCTGTGTGCTAAGTTGGCTGGATTTGATTTCTGTTGTTTATAATTAATGAACCCTAACTAATAACTGTCTCCATTATAGAGAAAAATATAATGTAAGTCCTGTATATTCCTCCAGTCTGGACCCACTGTATTTGCTAGGGCTGCCATAACAACATACCACAGACTGGGTGGCTTAAGCCACGGAAATTCATTTTCTCACCATTCCGGAGGCTGAAAGTCCAAAATCAAGGTGTCAACAGGTTTGGTTTCTTCAAGGCCTCTTTCCTTGGGTTGCAGATGGCCACCATCTTCCTGTGTCCTCTCTATGTTCTTTGTCCTAAACTCTTCTTAGAAGGACATCAGTCATACTGAAGTAGGGCCTCATTTTACCTTCATTACCTCGTAAAGGTCCTGTCTCTAAATATAGTCACAGTCTTAGATCGTAGGAGTTGGGGTTTCAACATGGATTTGGGGGGACACAATTCAGCCCATAAACCACTAGTCACTCTCAAGTACACAGAAACTTGTTGATAACCAGTTAAGGCCAAAAGTCAGAGATCTTTGGGGACCATTGGGTGGGCAGAGATCTAGACTTGGGACTCAGGCCCTAGCCGGTTTGGCTCAGTGGATAGAGTGTCGGCCTTTGGACCGAAGGGTCCCAGGTTCGATTCCAGCCAAGGGCACATACCTGGGTTTCGGGCTCAATCCCCAGTGGGGGGCGTGCAGGAGGCAGGCAATCAATGATTCTCATCAGTGATGTTTCTATCTCTCTCTCTCTCTTCCTTCCTCTCTGAAATCAATAAAGAAATATATTTTTAGAAAATAAAAAATAAACTTGGGACTCAGGAGCCAGGGCTCCCTGGCTCTGCCATTGTAGCATCAGGACCTTTCTCCACTCCATGGGCTTCCCTTGCCTCATCACACAGTCCAGCAGGAGAGAACTAATGGATCTTAATCTTTTCTTTATAAACTAACAAAAGGTAACCTTTAAACGTAAGCAGTGGTGTTAAAATTATATAAAAGCACCAACATTAGCCACTAGATTTTTATTCTTCCTACCATGTGCCATTTCCGTGAGCCCATGCTGAATATAGAACTTGAGGTGTTGAAAATGTAGAGGGATACAAAGCATAAAAATAGCAAGTTGTGAGATTTGTTTCATGACAATTTTTAAAGTCTCAAGTCTGCATTATTGTAACTTACAGACACTTAATAATAGAGGGATAAAAGATTGATTTTCATCATGCCAACTCATTAAGGATGTCAGGTTGAAAATGGATGTGAGTTTAGATGTTGCATTGGTGGTGAAATTGTGTGCTGCTCACTTTCTGATGAAACGAGATACATTTACCATCTGGTAGGCATGATTGGTAACTTGTGTGTGTGCGCGCTGCACTTCCTGAATGGTAAGCAGCAGCAACACCGTGTCATTCTGCTCATCCTTTTCCAGGAATAGACGGATTTTGTGAAATGACAGGACTGCAAAGCAAACCATTGAGGAGCAGTAGCAAAGAGATAGCAAAAGGGGCAGAAAAAGGCCCTGTGAAGGATCAGAAACAGAGCAGCCCAGGAACAATGGTAAACATAGTTTAGACTGGATATTACTAAGCAACCCCAAGCTCACTGCAGCTAAGGTTACCACCTGGACTTTGTGCTGTTCTCCTCAGCACCTAGTGAAATCACCGAGATAAGCATGGCCGTCCCCTTTCCGTTTAGAAAACCTAGTAAAGGGTGTTAATCCCTGGAGACTAGAGAAGGCAGTAAATCTGGGTGAGGTGGGGTGGGGAGCCTTGGCAAAAGGGCATGATTTTATTTTGATGCCTGTTATTCTCTCTCCTTTTCAACACCAGTGAAATTAAATCTGTGCAGTTCAATTGAATATAGAGTGGGCGGCCCCAAACTAATTCTCAAATCCCATCAACGGTGTGGCAAGGTAATCAGGGCGAGTGTATCTTCTCAACTCCTGCAGGTAACCCAGAGAGGCACTCGCTTCATCTGGAGATATCCACCACAAGATATCACCCGGCAACTTCCTATGAGCTTGAATAAATATTCAGAATTCTTAGTGTCTGGGTAGAGCACACTATGGTTCTGGATTGGGGCTGCTTTGTTCAGGAATAGGGAGAGGGAACAAGCGCCTTTGCAGGCGCTCCCCGAACTAAATCTCATTTACAACTCACGCCTCGAATCCAGACTCTGGAGGTAGAAAAGGAAACACTGTTTAAGTAACTTGCTCCAGGTCATGCAATTCTTTCCATTAAATACTTCTTGAGCACCAGTCATGTGCTACCTACGAGACAGAAAAGGTGAGAAGACCCCCTTCTTGCTCCAGTCACAGCCTGGAGCGCTCTTCCTCTGGGAGGCTTTGGGTAGCCTTCCCTTTCCAAAATCAAAGACCATGCAATGGCGTTATTACAGCAAAATGGCCGAGTGCCCACAGTCAAGCTCTTGCAAAAGGACTCCACATGAATTCTTTCTAATTTTGGAAATGTGATGTGAACTTTACAGATGGAAGAACAAACTTGGAGAAGTTAAACAACTTGCCAGAGGTCATTCAAGCCATGGTCTGGAAACCAGGTACATCTGACCCTAGATTCCATGTTCTTGACCCTCATCCCCGAGCAATCGCCATGATCCACCATCTCCTGACTCCACCCATGGGGTCCACACAGTGGTCTCAACCAGGGATGCAGATCTCAACCCGGGCACCTCCCACACCTGCCAGATGAGGAAATGAGCCCATTTCATCTGTGAACTCTACATCAGATCTGCTCAATTGGTTCTTGCTCCCCTAAACCATTAGAAGAGCCAAGAGCCTATGAACCAAGTGGTGATGGTTCGATTCTGGTCAAGGGCATATGCCCAGGTTGCAGGCTCGATCCCCAGTGGGAGGCGTGCGGAGGCAGCTGATCATTGATTCTCTCTTATCGTTCATGTTTCTATCTCTGTCCTCTCCCTTCCTCTCTGAAATCAATAAAAATATTTTGAAGAAGAAGGAGGAGGAGGAGGAGGAGGAGGAGGAGGAGGAGGAGGAGGAGGGAAGGAGGAGGAGGAGCCCAGAAACAGACAGGAAGTCCTTCAGTCATCAAGTCTCCTTGGTATGTGCCCCATTGCTTCAGCATCCCTGGACCATGTGTTTACATTTGGTTTTGGACAACCCAGCATCACAGCCCCTCTGCAGCCCCTCAACACTGTCAGCTATTGACTGTCTTCCCAAAAGACTTGCAAAACTATATATTGCCGGTAAAATAAAAGTTGTGTGTGCTGTGCATGTGCAAATG